TGTACAGTATAAAAACCATTACGCCTATGGAGAGTCCCCACTTTTCACAAAAACAAACCTGTGTGTGTGAGTGTGTGTGTGTGTGTGTGTGTGTCGTGCAGCGGGTCAGGGATGGGCTAATGGTCTCTCCCAAAGTCCCCACGGGCAGATGAGCTATTACAATTAGAGAGATGAGAGAGGATCGTTGCTCTTATTTCATCCTGTCTGATGCATCTGTATGAACGGATCGTGGCTGTAAAAACAAGACCATCTTTAAAAACACAGATTATTTTAATAGTCTGTAATGAATACTAGAATAATACCCAGTGTATCAAACATATTTATATTTCTTAAATACCGTAAAAAGCTTGGGGTCAGTAAGATTTTTATTCTGAAAGAAATTCTTACGTTTATTCATCAAGGACATTAAATTGATCAAAAGTGATAGTAAAGACATTTATAATGCCACAAAAGATTTCTATTTCAAATAAATGCTTTTCTTTTGAACTTACTTTTCATTAAATAAGCCTGAAAAATAAAATGTATCATGGTTTCCACAAAAATATTGGGCAGCACAACTGATTTCAGCATTGATATTAATCAGAAATGTTTCTCGAGCAGCAAATCAGCATATTAGAATGATTTCTGAAGATCATGTGACACTGAAGACTGGAGTAATGATGCTGAAAATTCAGCTGCGCATCACAGAAATAAATTACAGTTTAACAGATATTCACATAGAAAACAGCGGTTTTAAATTGTAATAATATTTCACCGTTTTCACCTTGCTAAGCAGAAGAGACATGAAAACATTTAAATATTTTTTACATAAATCATACCTAAATAATTAACTTGAACCAAATCATGATCAGATTATTGATTTCATGATCTACTTCTTCATGTAGTTATGAAAGAAACATAATCTAATCAAAATATTGACCCAGCAGATTGCTACTGTTTACTGTGAGTGTTTGTGTTTATGAACTAGTGGTGTTTGTCTGATCTTTCATCTGCAGGTGGAATCGCAGGCGGCATTGAAATCTGCATCACGTTTCCTACGGAGTATGTGAAGACTCAACTGCAGTTAGATGAGAAAGCCAATCCGCTCCGTTACAGAGGCATCAGTGAGTATACACACACACACACACACACATACATACTCACACACGTATGACTAACAGCCTAATGCATGAGAAACACACTCATCTGAAATACAACACACAGCCACACTCTCTCACACACACACACACACACACACACACTCAGGTGTGACGTTCACATCCTCTTTGGAGTTAATTAGTGAAACTCTCTGGGCCAGAACTGATTCCAACCTGCTGAACATTTTAACAAGCCTTCTGTTGATTTAGCAGACAGACTGACAGTTGCTCTTAGAAGCACATCTCTAATACCCAGATGATGCTCTGTGCAGTGTTATTTTAGTATCATTGATATACTGTTACAGTTTTTGTTAATATTTTGAATTAGATTTTTTATATATGTTATGTTTTAACTTTAATTTTAGTTGATTTCTATTTCAAATAAATTCTGTGAATTGCCGCTATTTGAAAGTGAAAGTAAAATGCGCACGCCGCTTTTTAAAAGAGGGAACGCCCCCACGGTGATACCGGTATTATCCGTGTTGTCACACGTCAATTAACCGGTGGGAAAATTTCCTCACCGTCACAACCTTACTGAAGACTGGAGTAATGATGCTGAAAATTCAACTTTGATCACAGAAATAAATTACATTTTACAATATATTCACAAAGAAAACAGCTATTTTAAATTCTAATAATATTTCAGTTTTTACTGTATTTATGATCAAATAAATGCAGCCTCGGTGAGCAGAAGAGACTCTCTGAATCAGCTGTAATGATATCATGATCTTTTCTTCACAGTGGACTGTGTGTCACAGACGGTCCGTCATCACGGAGCGAAGGGTTTATATCGAGGCCTCAGCTCGCTGCTGTACGGATCCATCCCTAAATCTGCAGTCAGGTACATAAACGCACTCTAACAGATGCGTCATCATGCATACCTGAGTTGAGCAGCCGATCTATTTCAGACAGCTGACATTTATTATGCTGATTGTTTTTGTTGAAGTGAGCAGCTCTTTCTCATTCAGAGGCGGGTTTGGTTTCTCCCGTGAGTCTGTGTGTGTTTGATGTGACGGAGCAACAGTGCGTGTCAGACTGATGCTCTCTGGTCTCTGAGGAAGAAGACAGAACTGACTTCAGCGCACGTAAACACACATCAGCTTCTGTCACCCTTTACTCACCCTGCTGTCGTTCTGCACCCGTATGACAAAAACCCGTATGGTTATTTACATTTAGTCATTTAGCAGACGCTTTTATCCAAAGCGACTTACAAATGAGGACAATAGAAGCAATCAAAATCAACAAGAGAGCATGGAAGAGATGTGTTTTTAGCCGATACTTGAAGCTGCTCGGACTGAGTTGAGCAGGTCATTCCACCAGGAGGGAACAGTTAATGAAAAAGTCTGTGAAAGTGATTTTGTGCTTCTTTGGGATGAAACAATAAAGCGTCATTCACTTGCACAACACAAGCTTCTAGAGGCACATAAGTCTGAAGTAATGAATTTAGGTAAACATTTCATAGTGCACTCGTAGTCCACTAGGCTCCAAAAAAGAACAAAACTGTGTGATTAAAGCACCGTAAAAGTATCCTAACATTAGTCCATTCACTCGTGTGCTGTTTTCTAAGCGTTATTATTTTAGTATCATTAATTTACTGTTATAGTTTTTATGAATATTTTGAATTTGTTTCTTTAATATATTTTATATTTTCATTTTAGTTTTAGTAATATTATGTTATGTTTTTAGTTTTTAGTTTATTACGGTAATATACTGTTATAGTTTTATGTTGATTTTGATTTTTATATTTTTCATTTTCATTTTAGTGAAAGTTTTAGCAATTTTGTTGTTTTTGCCATTTTTAATAGTTCAGCTATATAAGTATTATAATTTTGTTGAATTTTTTTATATTTTTCATTTTCATTTAAGTTAGTTTTAGTAATTTAGTTTTTGTCATTTCTGTTCCTTTTTTTATTTATCTATATAATTTTTATACTTTTTTTGTTTTTAGTTCATTAATAAATATACTGTTATAGTTTTTATTAATATTTTGAATTAGTTTTTATTTTTATATTTTCCGTTTTCATTTTCATTTTGGTTAGTTTTAGTCATTTTATTGTGTGTTTTTGTCATTTGTATTAATTTTTAAAAACATATCTATATAATTTTAGTAATTTTGTTTTAGCTCAATATACTTTTATAATTTTTATAAATTTTTTGAGTAAATTTTTATTTTTATATTTTTCGTTTTCATTTTAGTGAAAGTTTCAGCATCTTGGTTGTTCATGACATTTTTATTAGTTTTTTTAAAGATATATCTATATTAAATATATTATTTTAAATGTATGTATACAATTTTTATACTTTTTAAAATTAATGTACTGTTAATGTAGTTTTTATTAATATTTTGTTTTATATGTATATTTAGTTTTTATTTTTATATCTTCCATTTTCATTTTAGTTAAATAAAAAATAACAATGAAAAATAAAATTTATTTAAAATATATTCAAAACAACAGCAGCATTAGCATTTTCCATAAAAATCTGATTTCCAGACAGGTTTGAAATGACATAACGGTGAATAACTTCATATTTGGGAAAACGATTCCTTTAACATGGAGAGAAAACAGGAATAAAATTCTACTAGGATTCAGACCTGCATGAAAAGTCGAAAGTGAAACACGTGTCCAGACAATAGTTCCCATTCTAGTTATTCTGAATCTAATTCGTCTCATGTTTAGTGGTGTTTGTCTCTTTAAGGCCGTGTCGTCTGTCCCTTCATCACACTCTGATTGATTATCGTCTTCCTCCTCCTCTTTTCATTAGCTGATTGCACTGGTTTTGCGCGGGTGACCTTGTGTTTGTCCTGCTAATGGATCCTGTGCTGTACGTCTGACCGATGGATCCGAGCCCATATTGCATTTACGAGCAGCGTCTTATTTGAATGCAGCTGTGTTTTCCAGAGTGCCGCACCCAAACCATCCGCTTCAGCTCTGGTAGATTTACACTGGTTTACAGAGGGCCTGCAAACGCACATATCCTCAAAATCAACTCAGTACAGTTGTTGTTGTTTTTTTGCGTTAGTGCTACAAAATGCGCAGTATACAAAACACTGTGGAGGATCGTATCCCACAATGCAATGCACTCAGCTTGACCTGGAAGTCATATCAACCCTTCATTATTTAACTGGACTGCCAAAAATAGAACAATTTTTATTTTTTAAGATAACTTTATGCTGTAATTAAAGATGCAAGTATGTGTTTATTCTAGTGTTTGTAGAATACAGTATACATTTTTTGTATAATCACTATTTTGTGCATACCAGTGTTATTTTAGTATCATTAAAAGACTAGTCTATATTAATATATTAATATTTTAAATTTGTTTTTATTTTTATGTGTTATGTTTTCATTTTAATTCTAGTTAAAGTATTTTTGTGTTTTTTTTTATCACTTTTATTCGTTTTCGTTAGTTTTTTTTGTGATTATATCTATATAGTTTTAATAATTTTTTAATTTTTATTTCAGTTTTAGTTATTTTAGTACTAGTTACAACAATGAGAAATGTTGCTCTGGCTACTATAGCCAATTTTTTTATTTTATTTCAGTTAATAGTTATTTTATTTCAAGTTAATAAACTGTTATAATTTATATTGCTATCTTAAATTAGTTTTTTTTTATTCTTATATTTTTCTTTTTCATTTTAGTTAATTTTAGTAATTTAGTTGTTTTATTGTCATTTTTATCAGTTTTTTAAATATACCTATATGATTTTTATACATTTTTGTTTTAGTTCATTAATGTAATGTTATAGTTTTTATTAATATTTTGGAAGAGTTTTTATTTTTGTATTTTCATTTTAGTTAGTTTTAGTAAATTTGTTGTTTTCATCATTTTTATTAGTTTTTTTCAATTATGTCTATATAAATGTTTTAAATATTTGTTTTAGTTCATTAATATAATGTTATAGTTTTTATCAATATTTTGGGAGTTTTTATTTTTGTATTTTTATTTTAGTTTTAGTAATTTTGTTGTGTTTTTGTCATTTATATTAATTTTTTTATATATCTAGATATTTTTATACATTTTGTTTTAATTCATTAATATACTGTTATAGTTTTTATTAATGTTTTGAATGAGTTTTTATTTTTATATTTTTCGTAGTTAATTTATGTATATATATATATATATATATATATATATATATATATACTGTAAAATTTATGGTACAAAACAGGCAGCTGTGGTTGCCGAAATTTTACCGTAAAAATTACGGTATATATATATATATATAAAGCAGCCATTGTGAGCTTGTGCTGATAACAAGTACTGTAGCATAATGCTGTTTAAATCATTTATTAATGCATACTGCATACTATTTCACAATTTATTTGAAAAATTGTATGCAATATAGTATATGCTAAGCAGCTGATTAGTATTCCTTTCTAAACAGCCAGTCTGTCTCGGTAGTGTGAGTTTCATCCTGTCATGCTGAAAAAGCTACATGAATAGTGCAGGATGGATGATTTTAAAATTGAATTTGAGTCAATTGAATTTGATGGAGAGAGAGAGAGAGAGAGGCAGATGGAGAGATTGTTAAATGCATGATGCCAGCGGAGACATTAAGCAGACAGACGAGTCAAGCGTTCAGGTAGAATGACAGACAGTTTGTGTTTAGCTCGTCTGTTTGTTCAGTGCTGTGCTGTAAAAAGCGCTCGACTCTGCTGGATGTCCTGCGATCGTATCTGTCTTGAGCACCAGAAATAAAGGGGAGCAGGTAATAAAAACACACGGCTGCTTCCTGCTGCTAATGGACACCTGACGCTTTACTGCTGACGCGGCGGCGTTCAGGAGGAAACGCTTTAGTACGCCACAGATCTGATTCTGAGGATTGTGACTTGTGGCTAATCAGTGTGTCTGCATGCATATGTTTGTGGAAATGCATGTCTGTGTTTCCTTTGTTAACAAGTAATATACAATAATATAATATAGTAATATAATATAGTCACTGACTGAATTCAGAAAAGCATACTAGCGTACTATTCTTGCTATTTCTGCCACATATAGCAAAAATAGTAGGAGGAGTATCCTAGTATGCTGTTCTGAATTCAATGTCTGTCTTGCTAATGGGAGTTACATCCTTTGTTTAATTTTTAATTCATTTTTATTAGGGTTTTGAGTGTGTAGCGCTGAAACCCTATTGTAATTGATAGAGTGGTCAAGGATCAGCAATCTCCACCTAAAACTGATCAGCAGACCAAACCGTAAGTCGTAGAGACTTGAAACTTGGAGGGATGGTAGTACTCACACTGTCTACAAGGTCACCAATGCTTGCCCCAATCGGCCTCACGGGGGCGCTACAGCGATCAAAAGTACGAAATCGCTCATAACTCCTAAACCGTTGGTTGCAGGCTCAAGTGTCTTATGTCGTTGGAATCCTTGGCTCATGTCAGAAAAAATGCACACCTCGGATTTGATCGTCTGCGAAATTTTCGGGTATTTTGGATTTTTTGAAAAACCTACTTTTGCGAACTAGTCCTAGGTTTTTGCCTGATCGGAACCAAACCAGAGTAGAAAGATTATCTGGAGAGTGGATATTAATAATTATCAAAAAAAGTCGAACTTTCAACTGTGTAAGAGCTCAATCTGAGGTCACATGAAAAAAATCGTGGAGCTTGGCCACTTGGTGGCGCTATAATAGGGAAAAAACTTAAAAAGCTGCGCAACCATTTGTCCAATCAACATGAAAATTGGTATGCAGTGTCTTTGTTCGAAGTGACACAAGTGTCTATGAGGACATTTGCGTATCTCAAAAAACATGGCCGCCATCGGCCAATGAAATTTGAGCACCTATTAGACAAGGTTAACGGAGGCCGATTGGAACGAAACTCAGTGGGCCTGTTTGACTCATAGCCCTAAAGGTCTGTGAGAAATTTAGAAGAAATCGGCCAAAATATGGCATTTTTCAAGGGCGTAAACGATTGTATGTTGCACAGTTTTTCACACAGGCACACAATATTCATATTATATGATAGATCTCCTCATTCTGAACAACTTTGCCTCTAGAAGCACTGCTGTCAATCAAATCGTTCATTAATTATTCAAGATTTTTTAAATATACCTATATGATTTTTATACATTTTTGTGTAAGTTGTTTGTTTTAGTTCATAAATTTTCATTTTAGTTAGTTTTAGTAAATTTGTAAATATATAATAAATATATAAATATATATTAGGTGTTGCACCGACTAATCGACTAGTCGACTTCAATGCTCTGCAATGACGCTTTAAGCTTGATATATAATAAGCTTATATATAAGCTAAATATATATATATATGTGTGTGCAGTAAAAGTAAGTCCCCATTATTTTATATTATATTTATTTTGTTTTATTTTAAATGAAAGAAGTGACATAGCAAGCTCTGCTTTAGTGATTATTTTATTTTATTTTTAGCAGCAACAAATAAACCAAATAAAATAAGTGATATAGCAAACAATTACTTTAGCTATGCTTTTTGTTTATTTATTTATTGATTGTATTTTATTTTATTTATTTGTATGACTTTTGCATTGTTTACCATTGATTCTGGTGTGCTTTTCTCAGAAACAAAAGATTGTGTGTGGTGCAAAAAAATTATTGATTCATATTGCGTGCTGTTTTTTTTTAAATGTTAACAGGGTTTTTGGATCTGATTAGTTTCCTGCCCTGCAGCGCTGCTTTATTAATGTTTGCTTACAACTTTCTGCTTCATTCTCCTGCTTCATTTAAAACACAGTTGCGATGATGATGATTATGCTTTAATATAATTTCTCTGTGTTCCTCTGCAGGTTCGGTGTGTTTGAGATACTCAGTAACCAGATGAGAGACGAGGCTGGGAAGCTGGACAGCACTCGAGGGTTAGTCTGCGGTTTGGGTGCCGGCGTGATAGAGGCCGTCCTGGTCGTCTGTCCCATGGAGACCATAAAGGTGAGGTCAAAGGTCATTCATGTTGAATATTACATCAGCAATGGCATTTATTTCTGCTGAAGCTTTACCGTACGTGCTTCATCTCTCACATTTCCAGGTGAAATTCATCCACGATCAAACCTCAGCTAATCCCAAATACAGAGGCTTTTTCCACGGAGTGCGAGAGATCGTCAGAACTCAAGGTGAAAAACCTAGATCTTTGTTTTGACTATTTCAACTCTTAGCTGTGGGAAAAACTCAGTGTCCTGATTGTAAGGCCTGTTCTGTTGAATTTTCCCCATGACAAGAGTTTAAAAAGAAACAATTCATCCATATAGAGCCCTTAATACAATCATGACATGTCTTAGTTTTTCTGGTCGAGATTATTTTTTAAATTTATTTCACTTTATATTATTTTCCAACCCACTGGTCCCATGTAGGGGATGCTGGAGCATTATTTTATTTTATTATTTTTTTTATTATTATTATTATTATTATTTTTTAAACCACTTGTCCTATGTACGGGATGCTGGAGCTTTTCTATTCTATTCTATTCTATTCTAACCACATGTCCTTTGTAGGATCTTGTGGTTTCTGGAGCTTTTATTTTATTTTATTTTGTATTGTATTGTATTTTATTTTATTTATTTTATTTTGTATTGTATTGTATTTTATTTTATTTATTTTATTTTGTATTGTATTGTATTTTATTTTATTTATTTTATTTTGTATTGTATTGTATTTTATTTTATTTATTTTATTTTGTATTGTATTGTATTTTATTTTATTTATTTTATTTTGTATTGTATTGTATTTTATTTTATTTATTTTATTTTGTATTGTATTGTATTTTATTTTATTTATTTTATTTTGTATTGTATTGTATTTTATTTTATTTATTTTATTTTGTATTGTATTGTATTTTATTTTATTTATTTTATTTTGTATTGTATTGTATTTTATTTTATTTATTTTATTTTGTATTGTATTGTATTTTATTTTATTTATTTTATTTTGTATTGTATTGTATTTTATTTTATTTATTTTATTTTGTATTGTATTGTATTTTATTTTATTTATTTTATTTTGTATTGTATTGTATTTTATTTTATTTATTTTATTTTGTATTGTATTGTATTTTATTTTATTTATTTTATTTTGTATTGTATTGTATTTTATTTTATTTATTTTATTTTGTATTGTATTGTATTTTATTTTATTTATTTTATTTTGTATTGTATTGTATTTTATTTTATTTATTTTATTTTGTATTGTATTGTATTTTATTTTATTTATTTTATTTTGTATTGTATTGTATTTTATTTTATTTATTTTATTTTGTATTGTATTGTATTTTATTTTATTTATTTTATTTTGTATTGTATTGTATTTTATTTTATTTATTTTATTTTGTATTGTATTGTATTTTATTTTATTTATTTTATTTTGTATTGTATTGTATTTTATTTTATTTATTTTATTTTGTATTGTATTGTATTTTATTTTATTTATTTTATTTTGTATTGTATTGTATTTTATTTTATTTATTTTATTTTGTATTGTATTGTATTTTATTTTATTTATTTTATTTTGTATTGTATTGTATTTTATTTTATTTATTTTATTTTGTATTGTATTGTATTTTATTTTATTTATTTTATTTTGTATTGTATTGTATTTTATTTTATTTATTTTATTTTGTATTGTATTGTATTTTATTTTATTTATTTTATTTTGTATTGTATTGTATTTTATTTTATTTATTTTATTTTGTATTGTATTGTATTTTATTTTATTTATTTTATTTTGTATTGTATTGTATTTTATTTTATTTATTTTATTTTGTATTGTATTGTATTTTATTTTATTTATTTTATTTTGTATTGTATTGTATTTTATTTTATTTATTTTATTTTGTATTGTATTGTATTTTATTTTATTTATTTTATTTTGTATTGTATTGTATTTTATTTTATTTATTTTATTTTGTATTGTATTGTATTTTATTTTATTTCATTTTATTTTATTTTATTTTATTATTTTTTATTTTATTTTATTTTATCATCTACAAATAAGCCAAATGAAAAAGGTGATCTAGCAAGCAATTGCTATTGCAGTGATTATATTTTGTATTTTATTTTATTTGTATTATTTTTGCATTGTCTATCATTTGTTCTGGTGTGCTTTTCTCGAAAACAAAAGATTGTGTGCGAGTTATTGTATTGCAAATTATCCATATTGTCTCAGATTTGTCACTCTTGACAATTAATTTTTTATTTGATATAGATATTCACGTAGTTGCAAATAAGTGAATAAAACTATGCCGTACATAGTGCACATGATCGGTCATTTATAATGTTTGTATTCCATAAGTGATGCTCCTAGCGCTCTGTATGTGTCTCTCAGGAATCAGAGGGACGTATCAAGGCCTCACAGCGACCGTCCTCAAACAGGGATCCAATCAGGCGATCCGGTTCTTCGTCATGACCTCTCTCAGGAACTGGTACAAGGGTGAGTGTGTGTTTGTGCATCAGCAGTCTCACACTATAAAACACTATCTGAGCTGCACTGCCCTCTGCTGCTCATCGAGGTGATGGCAGATAGAGTCTCCTCTGGTGTCACACCAGGATGTTTTTGGATGTTTTCTAGGTGACGATCCCAACAAATCCATCAACCCCATCGTCACAGGAGCGTTTGGAGCGATTGCTGGAGCGGCGAGTGTGTTTGGAAACACGCCGCTGGACGTCATCAAGACCAGAATGCAGGTACGCAGAGCGTTTATCTCAATACAAATCAATCCTGTTATGATCAGTGAAGATGTGTATAATCAAAGCACTTGATATGCTGCATTGAAACACACCTTATATTTCTGTTTTTGATAATCCAGCCACTTTATTTTCTCTATCCATGTGCAATAAATTATTTAAATTTTTTTACAAATGTCATGAATTGATTTCTATGAACTGTATTAGTTATATAATATATACTGTAACTTTTGACCATTATAGCAAAGCAAATCAAAATTTATTCATAAAGCACTTTTTTTAATTTAATTTGTAATTTTTTTTTATTTATAATCTACAGCGTGTGCCAAAAGTGCTGTACAATTTCAAAAGAAAAATAAAATAAATGGAAACTTGAATACAGTAAGATACAATAATAGAAGAAAAAAGAAAACAAATAAATATATTAGAAAATGAGAATAAAAATGATCAAATAAGCAGCTCATGACGTTTCTGATTTCTGGCCCATGAATTTCAATCATCTTTTGTTTCAAATCCTTCAGTTGTAGCACTATGTACAAAACTGATTTGCTATTATAAAATAAAGTTTGTAAGGTGCATTTTATAGTGTATTTCTGTTAATAAAGCACTAGGAGTGTTTAAAGTTTTAATGAAAACATGTTTTTTTTTTTAGGGTTTGGAAGCTCATAAGTATAAAAACACGGTTGATTGTGCCACGAAGATCATGCGACAAGAAGGACCAGCGGCGTAAGTGTGTGTGTGTGTGTTTGTGAATGTGTGTGTGTGTGT